CCACCTCCACCCCTGCCGCCACCACGACCACCTCCGCCTCCGCTGCCGCCTCCGCCCCTGCCACCACTCCCGCCGCTGCTGCCGCCTCTCCCACTGTCGCCACCAGCCTCCTCAGCCGCGCCTCCACTCCCACCGCCTCCACCCCCACCTCCTCCGCCGCCACCCCCGCCCCTGCCTCCCCTGGTCCTGCGGCGCCCACTCGAAGCAGACGCGGTCCCGACCTTCTCAGCACCAAGGAGGTCGACAGCAGCAGCAGAGGCGACAGAGGGGAGGAGGGGGGAAGGGGAACACCCCTCGAAGAACGGGGTGCGGGGGTCGCCACGAGAGGTGCCTACAGCGACGATGCTCGCCTCAGCTGCAAGCAGTTCCTTCTCGAGGAGGGCAACAGTGAGCTCAGTGGGGGAGCGAGAGAGGAAGTGGTCCCTGACTACGCGCAGAGAGTCAGGGAGGCGGGTGACGATGTGGTAGAGAGTGATCCAGAGCGGGGGGGGGGTTGCTAGTGAGAAACTCGGCAGGCATAGCAGCGCGAAAGCGGGCCTCACTAGTCTTAAGGTGGGTGATGAGGTCTGCGACAGTGTGAAAGGAGGCTAGGTCGGGGAACAGGTAGGGAAGAGTGAGGCGGCCTAGCGTAGCAGAAGCGGGTGAGGAGTAACGGGCAACTACAGCGGTGTAGAGGTCCCTAGCAGTCTTGCACTGGCCAAAGTGCTCGCGCTCATCTAACGGCAGGGAGTTGCGGATGGCAAAGCGAGCGTGGGCGTCACGAGTCTGCCACTGTGAGCGGGTAGTGCTGTCAGCAGTGGTAGGAGGGGCAGTAGCATGGCCTAGGGCGTGATCGTACAGTGAGATATCCTCCTTGGCAGTGAGCTGTAGGAAGAGGTGCAGGTCATCTAGCCAGGTGTCGAACTTCACTGGGCGGCCCTCAGCATCGAAAGCGAGTACAGGAGGAGTAGCCATAGTGGCAGTAGTGGTAGTAGCAGTAGCAGTAGTAGCAGTAGTGGTAACAGCAGTAGCAGCAGTAGCAGCAGTAGCAGCGGTAGCAGTGGGGCCGCTAAGAGGCGGTGTGCGGGGTCGACGGGGCCAGCGGGGCCTCTATGCGGGGCGCGCGCGGGGACAGCGGGGCCGGTGGGGCCTCTAGGTGGGGCGTGCGCGGGGTCGACGGGGCCGGGTGGGCCTCTATGCGGGGCGCGCGCGGGGACAGCGGGGCCGGCGGGGCCTCTAGGCGGGGCGTGCGCGGGGTCGACGGGGCCGGGTGGGCCTCTATGCGGGGCGCGCGCGGGGACAGCGGGGCCGGCGGGGCCTCTAGGTGGGGCGTGCGCGGGGTCGACGGGGCCGGGTGGGCCTCTATGCGGGGCGCAAGCGGGGTCGACGGGGCCGGCGGGGCGTCTAGGTAGGGCGCGAGCGGGGTCGACGGGTCGGCGGGGCCGGTAGGCGGGGCGCTAGCGGGATCGACGGGGCTGGCGGGGGGGTCCTAGACGGGGTGCGCACGGGGTCGACGGGGCCGGCGAGGCCTCTAGGCGGGTCGCGCGCGGGATCGACGGGGCCAGCAGGGCCTCTAAGCGGCGCGCGCGCGCTGTCGACGGGGCCAAGGGGGGGGGCCTTAAGCGGGCGGGGCGCGCGTGAGTTCGACGGGGCCAGCAGGGCCGAAAAAAAAAAGGGCAGCGCGCGAGGGCGCTGGGGGGAGGCGCTAAGGCGCGCTCCGAGGTAGGTAGATAGGTAGGTAGGTAGTTAGGTGGGCCCTAAAAAAAACGGTCCTAGCGAAGGACCTGCTCTGAAACCATGTTAAAACTAACAGACAGGAATGAATGAACTAGTAGCATGCAGGAGTACAAGTAGTAAACCCTAAAGTGTTGTACCCCATATGAGCTACCCCACTACAGCCTACACAGACTATAGTGTATAAGTTTGACACTATCATCCGCCTGTGAATGTTTATGTTGTATCTCCGCCCATGTATGTTTATCTTGTAGCGGTACTCATCCGCCCTTTTCTCTCTCCCTCCCTCCCCGTGCGCAGACGTGGCGAAACAAGGCAAGGAATTTTGGCAGTATGTCCGCGACGCACGCCACGAGTACGACATCGACAATCGATACATCATCAATGCCGACCAGACGCCTTTGTGGTTGGAGATGCCGGCGACTACCACGGTGGAGCAGACGGGCGTGAAGTCGGTGCCCATCCGCAGTGGTGGTTACCAGAAAGAGAGAGTCACTGTGATGCTGGCGTGCACAGCGACGGGCGAGAAGTTGAAGCCGTGGGTGTTTTCAAGCGCAAGACACTCCCAAAGGGTGACTTCCTGAACGGTAAGAAGTTGTTAATGCGCTTGTTTCCGTGGGTAAAAACAATAATAAAATCTAACCACCGCATGTTTGTGTGCAGATGTCGTGGTCGGCTGCCAAGCTAACGGGTGGATGGAGGCCGCGGGCGTCATCGAGTGGCTCGATGCGGGCGTGGTGCCGTACCTGAAACCGAAGTTCGGCGTGCAGAGCCGTAGCGCCATGCTGGTGCTCGACTCCTACCGTGGTCACCTGACACCCGAAGTGAAGGCGAGATTTGCGGCGCTCAACATCGTGCCGGCGATCATCCTGGCAGGGTGCACGGCAGACTTGCAGCCGCTTGATGTGTCTATCAACAAAAGCTTCAAGGCAAGCGTTCGGCAGCAGTACCAGACATGGTTTGAGCAGGACGGCATGAACATACTGACACCCGCAGGTAGGCAAAATGTCCTCCCGTAACGCCTTCATGTGCTTGTCTGCCTGCTTGTGGACTTACTTGTTTCCCACCCCCGTGTATGTGGTGCAGGGAACATCAACAAACCACTTCCGAAGGTGGTGCTCAAGTGAATTTCACGGGCGTGGAAGGCTGTGCCCGCCGACCTGATTAAGAGGGCGTTCCTCACCTATGGCATCAGCAATGCCCTTGACGGGAGCGAAGACGGACTGGTGATGGCGCACCGGAGAAGTCAGCTGTCCCACGAGGTAGAGGTAGATGACGACGTCCAAGCAGACGGCTTCTTTGGCAACAACTCCACGGAGCCTGAATCGGACGAGGAGTAGGCCTTAGGGTACATTCCTGTGTGGACATTTGTGTCTCAATCCTATTGTGACGCGTAAAAACAGCATAAAACGTATTATGTCACAAACGGAATCGCCTTTTAGCGACCATTACTGTATTTTTCATTGGTTAGCGTGAAACGCGCTAACGTCGCGGACGAGTTGCAAATCGACCCGTCACTGGAAAAATGTCGCACGCGGTTCGAAATGTCAATGCACATGAACACCTCCCAATGCCAATTTCGTGCGGGAAAAAAACCCGCGCGTCGAAACCACACCCCAGCCAGGCGTTTGAAGAAACGGGTGTACAGTCAATTCCGAAACCCAATCAAAAGCGCACAACTGTACATTTCGCCTGGTCGCCTAGTGTCGCAATACATTCCTTTTTTGTGACGCGAGGTTGACAAAATGTTACGACGCGACTCGGGAAAAGGGGGATTGAGACATTTGTGTCCACACATGAATGTACCGGCTAGACTACTCTTGATTATGGTGTGTAGGCTAGGATTCTAGTCTAATGTAATGTGACTCGTGGGTTTTAGCAAATTCACATATACTGTTGTCTAAACAGCAAGGGTGCGCTTATAATAAGTCAAGATTTTTTAGGGGGTGCGCTTATAATTGAGGATCGGCCATAAGCGCATTGCTCCAGATAGAAGCGCATGCGCTATTAATAGGCCTGCGGGTTTGATCTGGGGCGATACGGTATTTTGGGAGGGTCCTATATCTGGGAGAATACGGTAATTGCTATTGTAACTGCTATTGCGGTTCGATACAGCAACGACTCAGGTAACTGCTCAATAACGAGTCAATTATGTGTCCTTGCTATCGCGCTGCTTTCGGACTTTCGCTCAACCTCTTGCTGTTGCTTTGTGTCAACCACTTTTGTTGACTCACTTGTTGCTTCATTGTAGTTCGTCTCGCTTACATGGTGGTGCTCGATACTTCAGAAGTGTGAACTACGGTATATGTTTCCAACACTAGCCAGGCTAGATCGGCACTTTTCTCATCATGTGAGTGAAGGATCCAAATTACCAAGGAAAGGCACCATCACCATCATCACAATCACCATCACCATCATCACAATCACCATCACCATAATTTTGTAGGTGCCTCAAAAATCACCTCAATACAAAGGAAAGGCACGACCATCAACATCATAATAAACTATTTGAACTGTTTTCCTTTGAAAAGTTGATAGCACCACACACACGCAGATCTTGGACCCACACGCCTCCGAGGGATAAGATTAGAGGGGCACTGACATGAAAAAAAAAAAGACAAAAGAATTAAAAAAAAAAAAACAAAAACAAGAAAAGAGTAACCGAGACGGAAAGAGAAGAAAAAAAAGGAAGAGGGGGACTTGAAGAGAGGATGAATGAGAGGGACAAAGAGATCCTAAAAGGGCTACAGTCTGTGTAGCTGTGGGTGGGTGAGTATAACCGGATGACTGCGCTGGCTCACCAATCCAGCATGCCTCCTCAACCCAGTCAAATAACGCTTGGGTGTCTCAACATGGCAGCAGCAGATTGGTGCATCAAAGGGACTTAGGGCTTGAAATGTGGGCAAGTGATGAACCTTTGCACACCTGAGCCGAGCTAAATGCCTATGTACAAAGAACACACAGCAACACACAGCAACTCACATTGGCATACAACGGGACATACCGGCACATGTGACGCCATCGGACTGCAGAAGAAGGGCTATACCAGCAAATGTGACGACAACAGATTGCAGAAGAAAGCCAGTTCTTCTTTACTCGACTCAAAAACAGAGCAGGTCATACAGGCACATGTGATGCCATTGGATTGCAGAAGAAAGCCAGGCTTGCAAACACAGACGGCCGCCCCTGCACTGTCTAGAACGCATGTGATGTTCCCACCACAAACCTTGTTGGCGCATCGGTCTGTGAGTGAAGGAACAGCGTGTGAAGGGAACTCTAGTGTGAGCATGCAAGCAGCTCGTGCGAAAAGGGAGCTTATCAATTGACATTTGTAATACATGCAGCGCAGATGGTGGGCATAAAAATGCTGGCAATATTAGTGCTTGGGGAAATGTGCGTTGAAGTACTTACATTGCTAATAGAAGTTAATGAATATAAATTTCTAGCTGTCGGTTGAGGTGACGCCAGTTAGGGGCAAACAAAGAAGCACAATGGCACACCAGCACAGCAGCACCCACCAGCACAGCAGCACCCACCAGCACAGCAGCACTCACCATCACAGCAGCACCCATCATCACAGCAGCACCCACCAGCACAGCAGCACCCACCAGCACAGCAGCACTCACCATCACAGCAGCACCCACCATCACAGCAGCACCCACCATCACAGCAGCACCCACCATCACAGCAGCACCCACCATCACAGCAGCACCCACCAGCACAGCAGCACCCACCATCACAGCAGCACCCACCATCACAGCAGCACCCACCATCACAGCAGCACCCACCATCACAGCAGCACCCACCATCAATGCAGCACCCACCATCACAGCAGCACCCACCATCACAGCAGCACCCACCATCACAGCAGCACCCACCAGCACAGCAGCACCCACCATCACAGCAGCACCCACCATCACAGCAGCACCCACCAGCACAGCAGCACCCACCATCACAGCAGCACTCACCATCACAGCAGCACCCACCATCACAGCAGCACCCACCATCACAGCAGCACCCACCATCACAGCAGCACCCACCATCACAGCAGCACCCACCATCACAGCAGCACCCACCATCACAGCAGCACCCACCATCACAGCAGCACCCACCATCACAGCAGCACCCACCATCACAGCAGCACCCACCAACACAGCAGCACCCACCATCACAGCAGCACCCACCAGCACAGCAGCACCCACCATCACAGCAGCACCCACCATCACAGCAGCACCCACCATCACAGCAGCACCCACCATCACAGCAGCACCCACCAGCACAGCAGCACCCACCAGCACAGCAGCACCCACCAACACAGCAGCACCCACCATCACAGCAGCACCCACCAGCACAGCAGCACCCACCAGCACAGCAGCACTCACCATCACAGCAGCACCCACCATCACAGCAGCACCCACCATCACAGCAGCACCCACCAGCACAGCAGCCCTCGCCATCACAGCAGCACCCACCATCACAGCAGCACCCACCATCACAGCAGCACCCACCATCACAGCAGCACCCACCAGCACAGCACCCACCATCACAGCAGCACCCACCATCACAGCAGCACCCACCATCACAGCAGCACCCACCATCACAGCAGCACCCACCATCACAGCAGCACCCACCATCACAGCAGCACCCACCATCACAGCAGCACCCACCATCACAGCAGCACCCACCATCACAGCAGCACCCACCAGCACAGCAGCACCCACCATCACAGCAGCACCCACCATCACAGCAGCACCCACCATCACAGCAGCACCCACCATCACAGCAGCACCCACCATCACAGCAGCACCCACCATCACAGCAGCACCCACCAACAGAGCAGCACTCACCAATACCATTGCAGCTGAAGGAACGGTAAGAATACTTGCTGTTGCGTGTGCGCATGTGAGGAATGGAAGGGGTGGAAGAGGGATGAGAAAAAAAGGGCTGAGAATGCATTTCTACAGCAAAAAGGGCAAGGGCAGTGATTAATATGGAGTGTCGGGCAATGCTTCAAGAGTCGTGTCTGTGTGCACACCAGCAGAAGCTGAGCGGGATGGACATGACAGACATGTTTGCGCAACTGTGTGTATGTGTCTGCATGTGTCACTAATTGTCATCATGCGTGCATGTATGATGCAACATTGCGTGAACTCCTCGCAATATGAGACTCACGTAAAGCCCAAGCAGGTCATGCTGGTTCCGTCTGAAGCACTGGGATACAACACATATGTTCAGGTCACACGGGCTCCGTCCAGTGGACCCCTCCTGCTCATACTTATTCAAGCTCACAACTTCCCCAACCCTCCAGAAACCCCGTTTAACCGCTAAGTCGTGCATGCATGCATGTAACCTCGCAAAGTCGTTGCCATTGCAGACTCACGTAAAGCCCAAGCAGGTCATGCTGGTTCCGTCCGAAGCGCTGGGATACGACCTGTACGTTCCAGTGCACCCCTCTTGCTCATACTCATTCAAGCTCACACACTCCCCCACCCCTCCAGGAGCCCCGTCTAGCCGCCAAGTCGACCAGACTCTCGAGGCAATGGAGGCAGGGAGGGTGGTGTAGGCGTTGAAGTCGAGGCGCATGGTGAAGGTGGTGGGCGTGATGGTGTAGTTGGGCTGATCGTAGAAGGTTATGCTGGTGGAGGAGACCGTGGGGGTGGCGCCTGGAAGGAGGAAGGGAACACAGGGAGGAGTGAAGGGTGGCCAGAATAAGGCTTGCTGGTGGAGGAGAGGAGACGGTGGGAGTGGCGCCTGCACGGGCAAGGGGGTAACAACACAGGGTGGTGAGGTGTTAGTGCGTTATGAAGTGGCCTGATAGTGTGTGCAAGGTAATACTCAAGGAGATGGTGGGGGTGATGCCTGCACTGGCAAGCAGCATGGTATGGTAAAGGGTCGCAGAAGGTGGGGAGAACGAGAAGGAAGAAGAGCTAAGGGGATGGGAGAGGGGGAGCGTCGGGAGAGGGGGAGGGGCATAGAAGGTGGGCGGAATGAGAAGAACGAAGAGTTAGGGGGATGGGAAAAAGGAGGTTGGAGTCCAGAAGATATGGTGGAAGACGGGACAGAGGGGAGGTGACAACAGCACGAGCGCAGGATAGGGGTGCAAAAGATGCTACTAGTGGGAGGAAACACAAGGGGGCTTAACTGATGGGAAAGAGTGTTTGCAGGGAAATGTGAGCAGCTTGGGGCTTACCGCTGATGCAACCAGAAGAGGAGGGTTACAATGAGAGTTGTTGGCTTACCGCTGATGCAACCAGTGCTGGTGAGGCCATAGCCGGGAGGGCAGATGCAGTATGAAATGTAGTCGAAAGCAACCGTGCACCTGGCTCCAGCAGGGCAGCTCCCACAAGTGGCGGGGCCTGGGGAGGTGGGGGAGGGAGACAGTACAGCACATCACAGCACACCGCAGCAGCATGTGCATTGGATGTGACACACAGGACGCCGCTCCAGTAGAGCTGTCCTTGATGCACGTGCCATTGCTCCCACAGGCTTTGAGTGTGCAGGTATCTGCGGTGAGAGAGAGTGTGGGAAGAGAACATGTAAACAGCTGAACTTTGTCAGCAATCATGCACATGCCATCAGCACAGATAGCACGAAGCACGAGCACGAAGTGCAAACAGGCCGAAGCACGAAGTAGCACATACAGGCATCAGCATGCTGTGAGCCCACCACGTACCAGTGCACGTCCTGCCATCCGTCTGCAGCGCAAAGCCAGAATTACACACACAGGATGCTGCTCCAGTAGTGGTGTTCTTGATGCACATGCCGTTACCCTGACATGCCTTGAGTGCGCATGTGTCTGGGAGGGAGGGGAGAGAGTGAACAGTTGACGCCAATTCTGCTTTGTCATCAATCACGCACATGCCGTCAGTCAGCACAGCATGCACATGCCGTCAGTCAGCACAGCATGCACATGGGAGTCAAGTCAAGGCAGGGCAGCACATACGATATGAGTGTAATGCATAGTAGAACAAGCATCAGCACAAAGCACCCACCAGTGCACGTCCTGCCATCAGCCTGCAGCACGAAGCCAAGGCTGCATACACAGGACGCCGCTCCAGTAGAGCTGTCCTTGATGCACGTGGCATTCTCACCACAGGCCTTGATTGCACATGTGTCTGGGAGGGGAGAGACAGAGTGAGGAAACATATCATGTAGACAGTGAAATTGATACTTGAATAGAACAGAGAAGTGGGTTCTGGATCAGACCACAGAAGAACATGCCAGGCACAAGGTATAGCAGACATGGCATAGCACACATGGCATGGCGTATGGCATGGCACATGGCATGGCACATGGAATGGCACAAGGCATGGGACAAGGCATGGGACAAGGCATGAGACATGGCGTAGCACAGCACATGGCATTGTACAAATATAGCACATGGCACAAGGAATGGCTGGCACATACCGGTGCACGTGACGCCATCAGGCTGCAGCACGAAGCCAGGGTCACACACACAGGACGCCGCTCCTGCACCGCTCTTCATGCACTTGGCGTTATTTCCACACATCTGCAGCACACAAGTGTCTGCCAAGAAAGGGAGAGGGGCAGAGGGAGCATTGAGTGGGACGAGCATCATGCCTTGCCTTGTGCGACAGCAACGGATGGCATTGGCATAATTCTTTTGAGTAGACTCAAAAGAGACGTCTGGCATTGGCATAATGCACGGAGCACGAGCACCATAGTTAAGCATGACATGACCTACGAGTCAGGTTGGGTCGGGTCAACCCGACCCGGGGCTTTTGCCGAGTCTGTAGAAATACACGCGTACACCCATAGCATCACCTACCAGTGCACGCCTTCTTGTCAGTCTGCAGAGATACACGCGCACGCACACACCATCACCTACCAGTGCATGTCCTCTTGTCAGCCTGCAGCACAAAGCCAGAGGCACAAACACAGGACGCCACTCCAGCACTGTTCTTGGTGCATGTGGCGTTGCCTCCACAAGCCTTGAGCACACATGTGTCTGGGCGAAAGGCAAGGGAGAAGGGAGGGAATTGAGCGAGTGAGGAGAGAGTATGAATGAGTGATGTAGTAAATGACTGCGGATTTACACGAAGGGTAAATAACTCCTCCAGGCACGGGGACGTTATAACTTATGCCCCCGCAAATCATGGGCCTCGATCACCGAACAGCACAGAACCACTCACCCACAGCAGTCACCACTGCAGCATCAACCAGCAATCCAGAGGCACTCACCAGTACAGCGACCATGATCCATCCACCAGCAATTTAGAGGCACTCACCAGCAGCAGCAGTAACTCACCAACACAGCCGGTGGAGGTCATGGAGAATCCAATGTTGCAGACGCAGGTGGCATCGCCCCTCTCCTTCACGCAAATCGCATTGGCGCCACACTTGCGCTGCACACACGAGTCTGGTGGATGTTTTCCACACGCGGGGGAGAGAGGGACCAGGGAGGAGAGGAAAACGGGGCGAGGAGAGGAAAACGGGGCGAGGAGAGGAAAACGGGGCGAGGAGAGGAAAACGGAGCGAGGAGAGGAAAATGGGGCGAGGAGAGGAAAAGAGCTAAGGAGGGGAACAGAAAAGTCCTATGGATCATGGATAGGTGGAATAAGATGGAGAGCGAGCAAAGTGCGGCGCTGGGAACAGCCCACCACCTCGCACATCCCATGCTCTAGTTTTTGAGCCGGCTCAAAAAGCGGCGCTGTTTTTGAGTCGACTCAAAGAGCGGTGCTGTTTTTGAGTCGACTCAAAGAGCGGCGCTGTTTTTGAGTCGACTCAAAGAGCGGCGCTGTTTTTGAGTCGACTCAAAGAGCAGCGCTGGGAACAGCCATTCTATCATGGGCTTTCTACACGAAAGTGAAGGAAAGTCTCAAGGGTGGACTGCGTGAAGTGAAATGAGTCGTGTTTTGAGTCGACTCAAAACACGACTCAGAGTGGGGAACTTCTTCAAAGGTGGACTGGACACGCCAAGGAGAAAACGGATTGTGAATTGACAGGTTGAATGGAAAGAGCGCTGCAGGTATCAAGCATGCTTAGAATGCAGGCAAAGAGACGGGCAACAGTGCGTTACGTTACAGCAGGCCCTAGCTCCTGCGTTCCAGGCCCTAGCAACTAGGGGCTGCTGGCTTACGGTGGGCGGCCTTGCTTGCTGGCAGGAGAAGAGCAGCAACTCTGGGCGCACAGGCTGAGAGCGGATGGGGGGGAGGGAGGGGAGTCGGGGTGGGGACGGGGGGGGGGGGAAAGGGGGGGGGGTTGGGAAGGGAAAGAGGAAAAAGAGGAAGGATGATCATGGGATGAGGAGGCAAGGAAAGAAAGGCTCAAGAGGGGGACTTTGGGCGCACGGGGATGCACGAAAGAGGACGAAATGAGGTGGGACGGTGGAAGAAGAATGGGGAACCGGGAATGTTGGGGTGAATAGCGTCTGAGGTTGCAAAGGGCAGGTATCACGCGAAGACGTAGGATAGGATTGGTGGAGGAGGAAATGAGTTCGAAGGCGCGCGGAAGCGAAGCATTATGCATGATGTGAGTCTTGCGAGGGGTATCGCTCCAGCAACTAGCAAACATGGCGTTTCTGCGACCTGAGAGAACCCCTGAGAACATCATGATGAGAGTTTGTGAGAGCATGAGAGCATACCTGAGAGCATGAGAGCAGCCAGTGCAGCGAGCACGAGGCCAGAGCGTCGCGTCACAGCCGCGCCGCTGTGCGAACGCGCCATCATGTTTGATGTTGCTTCGAAACGGTGTGGTCGTTACTACTGCTACTACTACTACCGGCGATGAAGATGGTCAATGAGGAGCACAGCAGCAGTACTACAGCAGCACAGCAGCAAGCATCCAAGGCTCTGACGTTAATGAGGGGCAGCGATTCAAATAAATTCAGGCTTTGTAGTTCAACTGATAGAGCATGCGGCCGTGTTCTTGGTAGCTGCGACGGCGGAAATGCGCGTCAGTGGGGAGAAATAGTTCTTTTGCAAGTAGTAGTAGGGGATGTAGGCTCCTTGGGATAAATACGATCCTCTACTAGAAAAATAGTTCTCACGATGAAGGAGAACGTCCAAGCGCAGACGGAATCGAGAAGGGTGACGCACTGTAACACCAAAGAAAGAAAGGACAGCGAAGGGGGTGCATCAAGAAAGTGCACTGTTACAGCTAGTAGGACAGACAAAGGACGATTCGAGGGTGCAGTACAGTACTAAGGTTAAGCCGGCTGGCTGGTTGAAGAAGGAAACGCATCGTAAAAGCGGTATTTCGCATGAAAAGGGCATCAGCAGCATCTTTGTGTGCGCTCGCCGTGACTTTGTGTTGCTGTTCCGCCGAAGCAGGACAGGACCAAGGCGAAGCTGAGAACTGGCAGTTTAATGGAATGAGCCGAACCTAACCCGGCTCAACTTAAAAAAAAAACCATCCGCGATGCTGGCACTGGTTCAACCAATGGTTGGTCGTCAGGAATGGATTATCACGTGAAGGCGATGAAATGGCTGATAAAATTGTAGGGTTGGGTGGGTTGGTTTGGAGGATTTGGGGTGTTCTCTTCCAGCCAGGCAGGAGCCTGCTCCTCCGTGATTTCCGGGGAAACAAATTCACAACATCCCCGTCCAAGGAAGCAGCTAGCAACTGAGCTCAACTCTACTCGTCTTACATCGTCTACTACTACAAGACAACAATGCTGACCAGATCTACAGAATTTATACAGTTCGTAGACAATCTCTGGGGCTGTCAATGTCATAATAGACAAACCAGCCTCTGCTTGACTCAGTAGGACTCCTACTAATCGGTCGGACCGAGCGACAGCTTGGAGCGGGAAACTCTTGTCAAAGAAACTGCTCGTGCAGTAACTGAAAGGGAGCAGCAGATAGAAACTAGTAGTTGCTGATAGCAAGCAGGAAAGGGGATGATTAGGGAGTGTCCATTTAGATGCGGTTTGGTGGGATGTTTTGCGTGTCAAAACGGTTAATGTTTACCATAGAACGTTTGGTTACGGTTTAAAAAACGTCAGGGTTTGAATGACTCTCTCTTGGGTCTGACTCAGCCCATGGCTCATGGAACGGGATTGACGGCCGTTAAGCACGACACGTGTGCACCAAGTCAACGGGGTGTGCGCTGGGCTGGTTGGCCAATCAGAATGGGAACGACGCCTGGCTGGCGATTGTCAGACCGGAAATATCCCGTGTCAGACATGAAGTTGGAGGTTCGGAAGACACAAAGTGACTCGGTACAGTATGTGTCTTCCGAACCTAAAATTGTCTGAATTTGAGCCAAGTACAGTTGTTCTCGTTTAAAGTCCGACGGAGAAACACGCCGCGCGCGGACTATATGTCAAAATGTCCGAAACCCCAGGCAAACCGGACCCCATAGTCCCAAATTCGAGAAAAGTGCATGAAAAGCGGTTATTTTTACTCTACTTAGTTGTTGTTTTTTGTCATATACGTACGTATGGACCGCGCTTGCTTCAACTTCTCGTCGAACGGTTTTACGCGTTATCAGTGATGCGTGAAAAACGGGCAGAAATAAACAACAGCAATTATGTTTGATGCCATAATAAGTTTGTCTTTTTGTTTTTCCTTCCTGTCAGCGAGATTACTGAGATGTCATCGTGGAGCGCGCTAGGAATCGCGCGACGGGAATAAGAAACAAGCGCGGTCAAGAGAAACAAAACATATCAGTTCTAAATGTTAACTTCAAAACAAAACTGCCTTTTGTAGCATTTCCCGTAAATGTTCAAGGCACTTATACGTGCAATGAACCTGGTCAAAAAAGGGACTGTAGAGGAGGGGCCACACCTAGGAATTAAAGGAAAAAGCTCCTCATTCTGAAAATGGGACTTTGTGAGCGCGGGACTTTATAGCGGAACCATTTGTATCTTCCGTGAATCTATGCTGCAGCACTACTACACCCTCATTCTCGGGCTACGCACAATCGGGAGCAGCGTCTACAGTGTTGTCAGGTAGCGCCACTGTGCATGTGGCCGAACCCCCTAATGTTGACAGGCACACCATGCACTAAGCGCCAAAACAGAACATTCGACATCACCTGTTGACTTTGTCCTTGATGTTGGCCAGAGATTCCGCGTTGGAAACACACAGGAAACAGACAAATCAGCAAACATGTTCAAAACTCAATCATAATCGCTACGTTCGGTAGAAAGGGGTAACGTATGGTACAACAAACAGAGAAAAACAACGGTACACCTGATGCTCATTTCAGTCCCGTTTCCCATCTTCCTCTATGCTCCTCTTTCGAGCATGCGCTCGCTACGAGGAGAATGGGACTGTACATAGGTAGCCTGGCGTGTCTTGTCTGGGAAACTCGAATAACTTATTCGAGGTCAAGAATATCTTAGTTTTGTCGTGGGCTAGTAACGCGCGGGCCGTTGGCAGTGAATGTCGACCACTGGGCGTATGGAGTAGCAGTGGGCGTGTTCAGAATGGGCGGTTGAGTGAGCATTAGGGTGTAGCCAGACACACAAGCGAGCGCACTGTACTTGGCTGTTTTGATTCAGCCACACTTCCTGCCAGTCAAAGTCAACAGCAGGCACAATCAAGTTGGCAGTCGTGATTATGCTTGTAGAGAATATGCTAGCACCATTCTGGGCACGCTGCAGTGCACCAAGGCGTTCGGTTCATGTGGTGATTGTGCGCTAGCCGAAAATGAGGGTGTAACCTATTGCGAGAAACAGGGTGGAGTGGGACCGTTCTAAAAGAAACCAGTAATGACATGTTGGGATCGACATCTCTTTGAACCGTCCCCCACAGTGTCAAACATCGTAGCGTACGGTTATCATACTACAATGTCAGCACTGTGCACGACCAAGGAAACTAGCAAAAGCCAGCTCGATCGAATCGGCAATGAAGATCGATCGCGAGATTGACGATGTAGAAAACCTACAGTCACGATATCATTTCACGCCAGTGTACGGGCCTCAAGTTCGACGATATATATTGGCAGGGTGCTCAATGGTTCTGCTTTGTTTCTGCAAACTCCATATGGTACACCTCTTTCGCGCTACGCTGGCAATGGGATGCACTGGCTACAGTGCGTACTGTTGCTTGGAACCTAGTGGGCTGGTGCTTACATCCGAACTCCCATGTAAGTGGCTGGCAAATGCCCTCTCGGTGAACTGTACACAACGGTTTTAGAAAGAAACCTTGTTTTTTTTTTACGGCTGAGTGCGGCAAACGTGCTTATATGGTACGTTCTACGACCATCCTGGACGCATTGATGTGTGTATATCCGATCAACCAGTATAGCCAATGACAGTGTAGCGCGAAAGAGGGTGTACTACCCTTGGAAGATCGTGGTACAGGTTTTTTTGGCGGATCGGTGATGCAGTCAGCCGAGGATCTCCAACAAGGGATCGGGGTAGTGAAGATATCGGAGAAGCTACAAACTTGCAATACGCCGTGACCGAGAACAGAGTCTGTTTGACTGCTCCCATCCCATCCTCGAGCTCATGACAGTAGGGAGTGGAAATCACGTGCCAAAGAAAGAACAAGAGCCGAGGGAGGACGAGTTTGTGGATGTCCGTTCATATGCGGTTCAGTTAGATTAATTGTATGACAGATCGGTCGCTGTCACAACAAAAATAATTTCTAAGTTGTGAGTAAACACAAAACTAACAAGTGGAAAATCGAATTTCTATTGGTACACATGGCTCAATGAATTACGCGTGTGAAAAATACGCGAGGGGAAATATGAGAATGGTAACACTTTTGGGCCTCAATAACGTGTACAGTAACAATTTCGATGTAATTTTGACGCATTTTTCAATGAATTGGAATTTATTACTGTAAAGTTTGCTTCTAACGAGGAGAGGCCGAACACTTCGCATCAGTTTGGGTTCGGCCTACACTTCGGCCCAAACCACATTCCGAGTCGCCCCGCACCAATCGCGACAATCCCAAACCATGGACGTCGAGAGGTCCTCGCCTAGTTAGTTTTCGCCCTATAAATGGTTGTTCCTTTATTGTATTCCTCATCATGTAATCGCATCGTTTTTATAAAGTCTTTTGCACACTCTGTTTAGTACAACTCAAAACTCTTGGTATTACTACTACTTTCCTAGCTCACTCCACTTTTTAGAGTATAATACCCCTAGGGAGGGGGACAGAGAAGGATGTCGTGGGGTCCAGGAGTCGCGCGCCTCGCGACCATGAAATTTACACGTGCTCCTTCGCCACTGCCGGA